CCCCTGGGCTCACGCCTGCATGATGTCATAGCTGTGTGCCGGCACAGCCCACGGGGACCGTCCTCAGGGCGCCAGGACACAGAGGCTGACCGTTCCCCGCCATGTGTGGGCCGGGCAGGTCTCCTCGCCTCCCTGGAGTCCCCCGGGACCAGGGCAGGGGACGGCAATAACGGGGTGGACCCACTTCCCCAAAGGCTAGGTGCAGGGTTCACGTGGGGAGGGGGAGGGGCAGTTAGCATCTCTGTTCCCGAAGTGCCCGCCCAGAGTGTGGGCAGTGAGAGGCCCACTGTTGTGGACAGCCATTTCACAGCCCTCCGTCCCCTGTGCCACCTTGCAGGCATGGCCCAGCCAGGGACATGGGGTGTCTGTGCCTCTCAGAGCCGGCTCCCCTGTGCCCATCCCCCCATGACAACCCAGGCCAGGCCCCTGAGCGCAGGGTCCCAGCCCTGGGACCCGGTGTGGTGGGGATGTTCTTTGTGGATCACCCCCTGGGATCCAGCCTCTCCCCCCCAGAGCGGCCCAGGGTGGGGAAGGGAAGGTGGCGCATCCCAGCAGTGGCATCCCAGCGGTGCCATGCGGGCCGGGCCGGGAGAGCAGGGGCAGGGGGTGGGGTGCCACGGGGGGGGGTCCCTGGAGCAGGAGCAGGACTGGGAGGAGTGGGGGGGCTGGGGGTGGGCCCAGCACTCCCGGGAAGCTCTACGTAGCCCTCAGGTCCCTCTGGGTGCGGGGCGTGGACCCTGGGAGGTTGCAAGCTGCCCCCATCCAAGTGCATTTCTGGGAACCCAAAAGCCACGCGTCCTCCAACTGACAGTGAGAGAGCAGCCAGTGTGAGGGGCAGCAGCGGAGCTGGCGCCGCACATGCCCCCTGTACCCGCTGTTCCCCACCCCACCCCACCCCCTCTGGGCAGGCAGTGGGCAGGGGAGGGGGGACTCACAGAGGTTGAGCAGGGAGGGTCAGGGAGTCCAGGGACCCTCGGCTGGGCCTGAGGCGGGGGCCGGCCTGTCCCTGAGGCCACCCCTGTGGGTGGCGCTCTAGGCCGCGAGGGCAGGGAGAGGGTGTGGAGCAGATGCTGCAGTGAATCACCTCCATGGTCACCTCCTGTGGCAGCCCAGCCCTTCCAGACCAGGACGGGGCACAGGACTCCCTTCCCCGGAGAAGGGGTGGTGTGTGTGGACCGTCCCAGGGGTCCCCAAGGTCCCCAGGACCAAGCCAGACGACAGAGCGCTCTGTCCATTTATCCACACAGCCAGCTTCTACAGCTATTCCAGAAGCTTCTCTGTGGATTACCTCTATCTTCAAAGCACCCCTAAGAGGTAGGTATCCTGCTGTCCCCACTTTACTGGGGAGGAGCGGGGCTCAGAGGGGGAGCTGACTTGCCCGAGGTCACACAGTGGGGGCAGAGCTGGGCAGTGTCCTGCGGTCCGGCCACTGCTCCGGCCCCCTCACTGGGGCAGTAAAGACAGACCCAGCATCGCCTGCCTCGGGTGCCGAGCTTTGGATGTCCTCAGGAAGGCGGTTAGGGACGTGACGGCGCTTCTCGCGTGAGGATGGATAAGGCAACCCTCCCTCATTCATTCACCAGCAAGGATGTGCAGCTCGCCTGCCGAGACCACGTGGGGCTGGCCGTGCGTGTCCGGTGGAACATTCCACCGTGGCCGGATGTGCTCTGCTTCCCCCACGGGCCACCGCGCTGCACGTGGCTGCTGAGCTCTCACAGGGCGGCTGGCGTGGCTGCAGACCTGAATCTTCGATTTGATGTCATTCAATTAGTTTTCGTTTCGGTAGCCACATGTGAGCAGTGGCTACTGTGCTGGGCGGTAGGAGAGAGAGGACGGGGAACGAAGCAGGAGGTCCTGGGCCCACAGAGAGAGCAGTTTGGGGAAGGGATGGGCTTGTAGGTCAGAGGTCAGGGGAGGCCTCCGTCGGGGATGGAGAGGGGCCCAAAGGACGTCTGAGGTGCAGCGGCTGAATGTCTGGGGAGCACCCAGGCAGAGGGCGCTGGCAGGACAGAGGGCAGGCGGGAGGGCGGACGGACCTACGGTGGGGCTGGGCACAGGCGTGGTGCTCAGGTGGGAATGCTGCTCAGGTGGTGGGAATGCTGCCGGGGGGGGGCAGGGATGAGCCGCAGAGCCCCAGGCCACCAGGGGTGACGCTTCTTAGCGATGCTGCGGTCCAGCAGGGAGGGGCACTCAGGTCCTGGCCAGACCTTGAGAGTTTGTCCGCAGGATTTGCTGACCCAGGGGAGACGGTTACAGAGAAAGGGGGGAGGGTCAGGTGAGCGTTCCCCTGGGAATAGGGTACCTCTCCTGAGAAGGTGGGAGGGGAGGAAAGGGCAGGCGGGGACTTCACTTCGTGGGAGGGACTTCTGCCCAGAGCCGGCCCACCCCCCACGGGGCAGGAGGTACCCGAGCGGCTGTGAGGGGTGGAGGTGCTCCCTGCTCAGAGCCCCTTGCGGGGCTCGGAGGGGTCCCCACGACCGGCCTGGGGGACCGTCTCCCGGTGAGGAGCCCCTGGAGCTCGGGTAACTGGAGGCAGGTGCGGTTTCTGGGTCCCTCGCCCAGTGGACCCCTCGCCCCTCGCCCCCTGAGCCGAGGTCGGGGAGCCGGGAGCAGCTGCTGGAGAGCAGTGACTTCCTGGAAGCACTGAGGACAGTAATGGAGCCTGAGCTGCCCCTGGGGGAAGTGGCTTCTGCCTGAGAGCATTTCCTGAAGCTCCATCCCTGGGGGCACAGGGCGGGGGGTTAGGGTTGGGCAGGCAGCCCTCCCGTGCATCCCACCCCATCTGCCAGCCTGGGAAGAGAGGGGGTGCAGAGCCCAGGAGGCCCCACAGAGCCCGGCTCCAGCCTCACTGAGAGACCCTCGGGGGCCTGGGTGGGACGGGGCAGTGAGAGGCCACTCTGACCTCAGAACCTCAGCTTCCTTGTCTGCGAAGTGGGGCCACAGCCCCTCCCGGGTGGTGAAGAGGCTGTGGTGTGGATAGAGCCCCTGGCCGAGGCCCCAGCCGGGGAAGCCCCCAGACAGGCTCACTGTCTCACCCACCAGAGGAGCTACTGGATGGATGGGTGGATGGATGGATGACCTCATCAATGGATCAGTCAATCCCTCGGCCACTGGGCAGCCGGGGCAGTGGGCAGCACGTGGGGGGCAGGGTGAATATGGCTGGACCCATGTCAATGTACGTTCAGCTCTGGGGGTGGAGGTGAGGCTGGGGTCTTATTTGGAGCGGGGAAGGGCAAGGCTGGGCCAGTGCCCTGGGAGCCACAGTCAGAGGGCGGAAGCCCCTTCACCCTAGCCTGGGCACCCACCACCCCAGGAGGCACCCAGAGCCGTTCGAAGCATCAGTCCCGGGTCAGCGCCGTCCCCTCTGACGAGACCCTGTTCCCGCTCACTTTGCTCTATCCTGAGTCTTTAAACAAAACAAAATAAATCCTAGGTTTTATTTTAATATTTCATTTGTACTCTCCAGCAACAGCCAACACAGTCTCTGCAATGGCCTCTCTCTGCTGAGATGAGCCCAGCTTTCCCATTGGAGCACCTGAGCAGTCAGACGTCTCTCCAGCGAGTCCACGGAAGACGCTCGTCGTCACCGGTCACCAGAACAATGACCGCAGAGGGACACCGCCTCACACCACCAGGACGGCTGGAAAAAACAAGAGCCCCAAACCAGAACATAACAAGTGATATTGTTATCAGCGAGGATGTGGCGAAATTTGAACGTCAGGTGTTGCTGGTGAGAATGTAACACGGCGCAGCCACTGTGGAGAATCGTCTGGCAGCTCCTCAAAAAGTCAAACCATCACAACCAGCAATTCTGCTCCTCGGTACGTGCCCCCAAATGAAACAAGGACCCAAACAGGCACTCGCACGCGAGGGCTCACGGCAGCCAAATGGGGAAACCCAACGCCGGCTGCCAGTGGGCGGACAAACCGCACAGTGAAGGGATCCAGCCACACTGGCCACAATGTGGACCCATCTAGGAGACACGGTGCTGAGTGAACAGGCCCAGACGCAGAAGGCCGTGTGTCGTGCGATCCCATTACACGAGCCACCAGGGCAGGAGAAGCCACTGAGACCGAGCAGACGGAGGGAGGGGGAGACCAACCACCTGATGGGAACTGGCCCCCTTCGCGGGGAGGAGAACATCCTGGAACCAGAGAGAGGTGGTGCTTGCACGGCGCTGTGACTGTGCTAAATGCCACGGAACTGTTTGCTTTTAAATAGCTAATTTTATGTTGTGTGCATTTCACCTCGATTAAAAAACAACAGAAAAAGATAAGTGAGCTCAGGGTCCAGCCCCACCCCCTCTCCCCACTGACCCCCACCGCCTGGACGCAGGACCACCCAGACCCGGACACGGCCCCTGGGCTGTGAAGACTGAGCTCCTGCTCTCTTAGGGACCTGAATGATGGACTCCAACCTTATCTGTCCCAACACCCCGACACCTGGCTCCACTCAGGCCGGGGAGGGGGCGGCAGGAGCAGGGAGGAGGGGGGTGCAGGCGGCTGCTGGCCCCCTGGGCTAAGGATGGCCACGGGCACAGGCTTTGGGAGGGTGTCACATTGCCCAGTCCCGTCACTGCTGGAATATTCCCTGTGGGATGGACAGAATAACGCCCCTCCCCAAAGAGGTCCACATCCCGACCCCCGGAACCTGTGAATGCATCACCTCCTGTGAATGCAGCTTCTCTCCTGCCTGGATGGCGAGACCACAAACCTGGAGGCACAGAGGGGCTCCTATAGCAACTCGGGGGTGTCTGCACTCAGCCGGTCGAGAAGACGTCCACCCGCAGGACTTCTTGGGGCCTTTCTGAGGCCAGTGCCAGTGTGCATGTCGAGTGCCCAGCAGCCCAGCCTCAGCTGACCACCCCCTGCTCTGCTTGCCCATACCCTCACCCGCCAGCACACACAGGCACACGGCAAACCCCAGTGTCCAGACCCTCAGGTACACAAACGTGCATACATAACCGTGATGGCAGTGGGAAAACCTCCCTGACAGCTCGTAAAGAAAGTTAGATTTCATTGCCATGATGTCAGCAGAGAGCAATTTGCTTCCAGAGACGTCCCATCCAGAATGGTGACAGCTTCGCCATCATGGAGACGCAGTATACTTCGGGGACCTGGCCATGTGGCACCACCGGAGCCCCTATGAGGGTTAGTGCAGCTTCGGGTCAGCAGGGAGGCCTTGGACCTGCCCTGCAATGAGCCCCCACCAGCCCAGAGCTCCGGGGGGAGGTAAAGGAAGGCCCCGAGAGCAAGGGGCACCGGAGGGGAGGAGTGCTGGGGGTCCAGGCTGAGCTCCGAGCCCTCAGCGGTCACCCTCCTGCTCTGAGGGCAAAGACCATCCCGCTCCTTCCTCCGCCTCCCTCTCCACGCCTCCGTGTGTGCAGGGGGTGACAAGGGCTTCTCCACCCGCAGAAGCCTCCCCCATGCGGAGGACTCACACGGACTCATCTTAGAAGAAAATGAACTGGAGCCAGGGAGTTTGCTCTGAGCCCCAACGCCGGTGCCCTGCCCCCTCCTCACACAGACATGCCCACAGAGGGACCCTCACCACCCGGCTGACCTCGACATCGCCCCTGAGGACAGGGCTGGTACTCCCACTTCTGCCCGTGGCTGGTCCTACAGGGAATGAGAGGCAGGAAGGCGAGGAAGGGGGGTGGCCAGGTCCCCTCACCCCACTGGGTCCAGTGGCCCCCTTGGGGAAGTATTTTTCTGGGTCAGTCAACAGACTCCTATTTCCAGGGAGAAAGAAGCCCCTGATCATAAAGCCCGGGCAGGGGTGTGGGGAGGTTCGGGGTCCGTTTCTGGTGGCATTTTAAGGAACCCTGCCTTAAATGTGGAAACTCATCACAGCCGAAAGCTTTCCCGGCTCCTGCAGAGATGCAGCCGTCAGAACAGTCTGTAAAACAGAGGGGCTCACAGCTCTGCAGGCGGGTCCTGGTGCCCAGCACAGCTGCGGGACCGGGCAGCTGGTGGCCTCACTTCCCCGGGCTGCCTGCCCTTTCTGGGGGCTCCTGCCCCGTCACGGTCATCACGTGGTCGTCCCAGTCACCACAGCCAGTGCTGAGTGCTGTGCGAAGCCTGGCAGAGGCCTGCTCTGCTCTCCCAGGAGTCTGGGGAGCAGCTCAGAGTGGGAAAAACATGGCCTTGGTGGCCAAGAGAGCCAGGGAGTTGGGAGACAGGCCGTGCGCAGGAGGGCTCTGGGGGGAGAAGGGGAAGGGTCCCAGATGCCCACGATCATCGTTCATCCTGCGTTTGCAAGCAGAGCCAACTGTTTCCAACCCTGACTCCAGCTCTGCAGCGCACCTCCGAGGGCCCTGAGCCGGTGTGGACACACAGAGCAGACCGGGCGGGAGAGCCCCGTCTGGCTCTCTGGCGGGAAAGCCCTTCTGACTACAAGTCGCACGTCCCTCTTCCTTCTGCGCCGAGCAGAGCTCCCATCCTCCATGTGACACGGGAGCTGGCTTCTGACCTACAGGGTGAGGGGAATTGACAGAAACACAGGCATTTAGACCTTTGACCTGAAAACCCATTTAGCCCCCAAAACGTTTCCCCTCCATAGTGTTGGACGTGGGGACAGAATGTCCACCAGGTGGGCAAGCGTCACTTTACCTGGGCACAGACTCCGGCGCATTTGGCTAAGTGGACTCTTTGTGTCCAATGCCTGGACACGCCCTGTGCGCCATCCCTTCCCACCCGCTCCGGGCAAACGCAGGGGCGATGGCTGAGGGGCACCTGTTTCCTGCCCCCTCCCCTCCCTGGGGAGCCCCTCAGAGAACTTCTCTCCCCAGGTAGACCTCAGGGCTCTGGGGCTGCCCTGTTGGATGCCCCAGGCCCAGTGGGGCCCAGAGCCCTGGTCATTGCCCAGCGGTGCGGGCAGGGCCCCAGAGCCCCTAATGCTCCGTTCACGCCAGGTTGCTATCTGCTTGCTAAGGCTAGCGGTGGGGGGCATGGGGGTGGGTGCGGGGGGGTCCCACCACTGGGAGCCCAGCCCGGAGCCCTGAGACAAAGGGAGCCTGGGAGTGTTGATCCAACAAGACCTCAGCCACAATTAGCTGGGTCCCTCATCGCTGCCTTATAAATATTCATTCTGCCATTGTTATAAAGGTGCTTTAAAAAAAAAACGCCAAACTCACGTGGAGTCAGGGACTGAACCGCTGCCGACACGCAGGCCGCCACGCCAAACCCCCTGTTGACGAGCAGCACAGTCGCCACCGGGATGGCTTCTCAGGGCCCACGTGGGCGCTCTCTGGGGTTTTGCTTAATTTGGGACAGTTTTTTTTGTTCCCTGCATGTAACATTTATAAATGTCACAGTGTGCCCAGGATGCTCTGTGCCTGTGGGCGTGGCCTCCCAAGGGGGCGGGCCCTGCAGCCGTGTGGAAGGGGTGCTGTCGCCCTCCCCTCGGGGGACCCTCCTGCCTCCACTGGGGGGTGGCCTCCTTCACTTCGGCTTCCACACCCCGAGGCCGGAACCCCCGCCCGCTCTGCCAAGTTGTTACGGCCCATCTCGACCCCCCCAAATGAGCACAAGGATGTCTGCGCCGGATTGGATCTAGGATAGAGCCGGAGGTCGCCTAGTCTGGCCCTCCTGTCACCAGTAGCTGGATGCTTTGCTTAAATGCTTCCTGTGATGGGGTGCTCACTACTTCAGAGGTGCCCTCCCTGCCTCAAGGGAGCCGGTGATGGCAGGTCACACAACAACGATGCTGACCATTGGTCAGGCTATTGAAGCCCGGCGGGTGGCAGGCGCAGGGGGAGGCTCCTGAACCTGCACGCCTGTAAATGCCACCATCCCCAAAGCCAGCCACAAGCACAGCATCAGCAGAAGGGACGGCCGCCCTTCACAGCCACAGACCCCCAGTATGTGCTGGGGGAGAGTGACCCCGGCCTGGCTGCAGCAGCCTCCCTCCCTCTCCACCTGCCCTTCCTGGCACAGAGGCTGCTCCGCTCTTGGGCCCCTCTCTGGGGCCACGTCAGACACGTCCACAGAAGGCTGATCACAGACGGACACTCGCCATGTCCGGCTCTGCCCCAGCGAGAAATCCTGGGCCTGGTGGGGCAAAGGCTGCCCCATCTCCGGCTCCACCACTGGTGACGGTCAAGGGGATGCCAGTGGAGGCTGGTGCGTGTCCAGCAGGAAGTTGGGGTCTCATCACAGGGTTCCTGACAGAGGCCCCAGCATCGCGGGCAGGGACGTCTCTACACAAATCCCCCAGCCACACCAGAGCCTCCCAGGTCAGCCTCCCAACTCCTCATAAACACGGCCCCTCCTGGCCCTGCAGGCGGGTCTCCATCAGCCCCGGACGTTAGGGTAGGCGGACGTGCCTCAGGGCAGGCACGGCCCAGCGCCTGGCCTAGAGAGGGGGCCGGGTCAACCCGCCCACAGCATCCGGGTCAGGGCCAGTCCCCCCAGAAGAGGATGTACCGCGTGTACCGCTCGGGCAGCTGCGCCCGGCAGCGAGGCCTGCGAGTGGACCCCTCACTCCGTCCGCGCCCTGCGCGTCAGATGCCGAACCTGCATCCGGCCGTGGCCATCCCCCGCTTCCCCTGGAGCACCCCATTGGCCTCTGCCCTGGCCAAGTTTCTAAGCATCTGGAACAACAGAAGTTCCCAGGCTAGGGTGGGTGCGGCCACACTCCGGGGCCCCTGAGGAAGCTTTTGCTTCTTGACAGTGCGGGTTCCCTGATAGCAGGTGTTCGGACAGTGAGAACCGGGGCCCTGCAGAGAGCCGTCCCACTTAGCAAATGGAACCCTGCTCAGCCCTGACGGATGGCTTAGCCGGATCGTAAAACTCCGGCGGAAGTCAAATTCAGGTTCTCAAAACCTTGGAGATATTCCTTGAATTTATTATGTGACCTGATAAATTATTGAATCCGAGTCCTCGTGGACCTGGAACAGGCCTGGCAGGCGGGCTGTAACACTTCGAGTCCCGAGGGTCGCGGCGCTCGCCTGCTGTGAGCTAAGGTTCCCCGAGAAATGTTCTTCTGGGAACTTGCGCTGGAAATCCAGAATCCCCGGGAGGCTTTCCCGAGGTCAGAGGGCAGAAAAGCCTGAGAGGCCCCCAGCGTGGTCTTTGGGACCCTCTGTCCCCCTCGGCCCAGGGTCTCGGCTGTTTCTCTGGCCACCCCTCCCTGGGGAGCTCCCCCAATTTCCTTTGAAAACAAACCTGTGGGAGGCGGAATCCCTGCACCATGCCCCCCAACCCCGCCAGGAACGTGGTGGGGAATCACTCCCAGGCTTAGGGCGTTAATCTACCAACTGCAAGTTCATCAGAAGGAATGTTCTGCCGGGTGAGCCAGCCCTAATCAGGCGAGCCCGTCAAAGGGAGCAGCACCAGAAACACGTTGTCCTGCTGGTCTCAGGGAAGGAACCGACAGCCAGGTTGTGACCGGCCCATGGGGCCACGTGGCAGCTCCCAGCCCCCAGCCACAGACAACGCGGAGTTGCAGGAATGAACCCCACCAATAATCTCACCGAGCCTGGAAGAGACCTCAGCCCCGGCCACACCTGATTTCAGCCCAGGGAGACCCCGAGCACAGGAGCCACGCCGGGCTTCTGAGCCACGGGGACTGTCAGAGAATAACTCGGTGGTCAGCTGTCCCGCAGGGCAGAAAACTAACAAAACGCTGAATCTCAAACTCAGGACACAGTTCAAGTCACGTCCATTGGCTCCCCTAGGGAACCTGGGCAGGAGGTCTCCGCGTCCTGGGCCCCTTCCATCTCCCTGGGGCAACTGGGCCATGTTGAGAAGAATGCTGACGTACGCCTAGGCTCCGTGGGAAGGGCACCACGGGGCAGCGATGCCCCGTGGGCGGTAGCACGTGGGCCATATATGCAGGTTCAGCTCCACTGGAGGCTCACAGTTTGAGGGGCCGTATGAGAGCCTGCTGGGGAGATGCCCCGACAGGTGCTTCCTGCCCACGCCCCAGCCCCCACCCCCAGGACGAGAAGAGAATAACAGATCCTGTGTGTCACGGGCCCGGCTATTTTCACTGAGATGATGGATAGTCAGTCCTGCTTTCTGGTCCGGGCCGCAGTGAGCGTCTTGCTCCAGGACAGCAAAACTGGGAACCACAGCTGCTGGGGGTCCCATCCACGGCGATGTGAGGAGCCCCCGTTACCCTCCCCTACCCCCGTTCATGACTTGGTGCAGGTCCCCCTGGTCCGTTGCCTCTCCTCCCCCAAGATCCTTCCTGACCACCAACTCCTTCCCCAGCCAGCCCTCCACTAAGCTAATCTCACCTAGATTTTTGAGATTGTCAATCAGCTAAATCGTGCTGGTGTTGGGGTCGTTGCCTGATGGGGCAGAATGACTGCAGCCACAGTGGGTGAGGCAGGGTCAGCCCAAAGGGGCACCCACGTGGGCGCCCTCTGGGGTTTTGCAGTGGGGGGATCTCTGCAGTGCGCTAGGCCCAGGACTAACTGCAGCCCCCCTCTGGGGCCCGCCTGTGTAGGGGGCTCAGCCCCCGGAGGCCTCCACCCCTGAGGCAGCCTCTCCGAGCCCCAGGAGTGACCTTCGCCAAGGCTGCGAAGCCTGCAGCCAGTTCTGCTGAAGCACCGCGCGTCCACGGTTATGAGCTATTTTATTGCCCAGTCAGTAAAAAACCTTCCGATTAGGTCATTGCAGAGGCAGGCGGATGCCAAAAAATATAAATTTCCTTTTGTCCACCACTGACCCCTCCACCTCCACGCCGGCCTCCATTCTGGTTCCTTCCCCGTGTTTTCATTAATTACTGAGACATGGCAGCCGTGCCAGGCTGCTTCCAGGCCCCAGGGCTCCTTTCCAGAGGCCGGGGGTGGGGGGTGGGCAGGTGGTGCTGGAGGACATGGGGGTGTTCTCGGCTGGCTCTGGGATGGGGAAGCCCCCTGCAGGCCGTGCCTCTGAGTCTGGCCCCTCCAACCAAGGGTGCAGGCACAGGGGAGGGCCCCGGCTGAAGGCTGTGCCCACGGGGGCCGGGGCCCCTCTCCAGGAGCCGGGGTCTCCCAGAAGCAGCACCAGCCCCCTTGAAGCGGGTCCTCTGCGCACCTTTACACAGACTGCACTGAGGTGGGGGCCTGTCCATTCACACGGTCATTCAGGAGACGTTGGCTGGGCCCACACCACGTGCCCTGTCTGCTAAGCGCTGGGGCTCTGACCCTCCTCTGTGAATCGGGTGGGCTCGGCACCCTGCCCCTGGAGAGGGGGCCTGGCATAGGGGATGGTGTAGATTCAGACCCAAATGCCAGCTCAGACACAGCCCAGGCCTCCCCAGCCGAGAGCCCAGCTTAGAATCAGTAGTGACGTGGTAAGAGCATGGGGACAGGGCAGGGAGGACTTCCTGGAAGCGGTGGCATCCATCTCCAGGTCAGGGCTCAGGCCGTCTCTCTAGCTCCTGGGTGAGGCCTGCAGACCTCCCTGCAGAGCCAGCCCAGGGGCACTCGTCCAGCCGGGGGCAGAGGCGCCCAAGCGGGACACTCTGGGAGGCGGAAACCACCGTGGACTCCAGCTCCACCTCGGCACCTGTTGGGCAGACTCAGAATAGCCTTTCCCAAGAGGTCAGGTTGGGCTGGGCGATCGGAGGGCTGGGCGGGTTGGGGGGCCCTGGGGGGTGCTGGAGGGCAGCTGCCGCACTCACTTTCCCTTTTAGGCCGAGGGGGCTGTCCCGCCCGGCCTGGTCACGCCCCCACAGCTGAGCAGCGAGGGCCCAGCAGACAAGCAGGACAGCACTTTGAAAGTCACATGACGTGGGGCACCCTCAACCACTTCCATCACAGCGGTCCGCTGGGGGGCTGTCCCCCCAGAGCCCAGAGCACCCTGGCTCCTTCCTGGCATGTTCCAGACGTGCCCGAGCATGGGACTGGCACGTGGTAGATGCTCAGTAAACCTTTGCAGGCCCCGTGACGGGAGTTGGGGCAGCAGAGTCAGCGACGCCTCAGACACCAGCTCGGCCCGGCTCCCCTGCAGGGGTTTCCCCTCCCCCCCCACCGTCTTCCCCAGACGCCCTCCCCAGTCTGGCCCCACCAGCTTCCTCAGGGCCCCTCCCTGGGCTGGAGACAGATGAGCAAAGAGCCTTCCCGGGGCTGGAGGCCGCTTGGCGGCTGTGAGGGACCGGGGATTCACCCAGCACCCCTGCCCGGAGCCCCCGCCCGGATCCCTGCCAGCCCAGGCAGCACCACTTCTCTAGTAAGTTCTAACGGCGAGCTCGGCTTTCCAGAAGCGTAATTAAGTGTGACGACCTCACTGCTGCCCCTGCCCCACGAGATCAGGTCGGGCTTTTTAATTAGCCCCACCAATAAATATGTCAGAGTCCCCTTAAAAATATATCTGTCTCCCAAGGCCAAGCTGAGTGACGGCGTAAACAGGGGCTTAGAAACCGGGCACAGGTGCCTCGAGCTCCTTATGGCAGTGGCCCTGCCTGAGAACGGAGGAGCCCACTGCCCGCCCAGGGTCTAAACGCTCAGCCCCGCCAGGCCCCTGACCATGGCGGGGCGGCCCCTAGGGCCCCAGCTTCGCCCGGGACGGTGGCCGGCAGGCTGGAAGCGCCCGTTTCTGCAGCCTCTCAGGCCCAGACCCTGTCTGGGCCCAGAAGCTGGGGGGCAAGAGAGCAGACCCCCACCCCGGCAGGGCGGCAGGCAGGCATTTGGGCCCCTCGTCCTCCACCCATGTCTTAGGGGACTTCCTGGTGTCCTGGGGGTTTTCTCTCCAAAGAGAATTGCCCCGGGGGCTGTCGGGGGTGGGGGTGCCCACCCTCGACAAAGCCTTGTAACGGGCTTTGCATGTCTCTCCAGCCACCCACCCCCCCCCCCCCCCCGCTGTCAGTGGGCACCGCAGGGGTCAGAGAGACACGCAACGCAGAAGTTCCAGAAGTTCACATTCAGAAAGTGACCTATTAGTCCTGGTTTTCCAGCCCTTGCTGCCTGGGGGGATGGGGGTGGGATCAGCAGGGAGGCTCTTTAACTTGGAGTCTCCCCCTGCGTGGGAGGGATAATTTCAAGAACCCCCTCTACCTCCTAGGAGGGTTCCAGAAACTCCCCTGTTCTTGCCACTGCCTCGTCTGGGTCCGAGCCCGAGTCCAGCGAGTGCCCCCCTGCCCTCTCCAGGGGGCACTGTCCAAAAGGGGTGGCTGCTCGAAGCCCAGGTCCCCTGAGTGCAGGCTTGCCAGGGGCTCAGCTCGGCGTGAGCATGGCCCTGGGAAGGGAAGGAGGGGGCAGAGGTCATGACTCGCCTGGAGGGGTGCCCGGTTCAGGCGGGACCTTCTCCACCTGCCCCCGGCTCCCTGCACGCAGCCCCCAGACAAGGAAGAGAAAGAGGCCAAGGAGGCTAAGCGCCCTGAGCGGGGCTGAGGGACCGGGCAAGTATCAGGAAAGCCCCCTCCCCACCCCCTGCACAGCCCTGGGGAGGGCCCGGGCCCCAGAGCCACCAGGGCACCCACAGCGCACTCCCCTCTGAGCCCCAGCCGAGACCAAGGAACACGGGCGACGTAGAGGAAGGCCGAGGCTCTCACCATTGGTGCCGCCAACGTTCACTGAGTGCTTGCTGCATGCCTGCCTTTTGTGTTCATCACACAACATCTTCACGACAAACCGTGACAGGTCAGGAGGGCGGCACGCTGACTTCCAGTGAGAACTGAGGGCCCCCCGCAGGGCCCCCAGGGCTCGCCGACCCTGCCAACCCCCAGACACCCCCGGAGCCCCCAGCTGGACCCTCCGGCTGGCTTCCTGAGCCCTAGAGAGCCTGGTATTGACCGCGCACAGACTGGGCATTGATTGGCTGAAAGGTGAAACCTGAAATAGTCCCCGTTGCCGGTAAACGGGAGTTTTAATTGTTTAGGCAGCTAATCTCGGGTTGCCTCCCAGGAAGCTGGGGGGCAGGGGGTGGGCACGGGAGCTTTGATGTCCACAACCACAGGGCAGGCCTGGTGGGGGCCTGCACCACCCACTCTGAGCAGGGTCCAGCAGGAGGTCTGTCCTCCCGGGAGCCCAGGCCCGGGGCCCTGGTCAGGGCGGCAGGCCTGGGACACGCTGCAGGAAATGGCACCAGCTCTGAATCCCAGGGCTGGTCCTGGCTCAGCCGCGTTCTCCGACTCCCTGGGCGAGTCACGTCGGTGCCCCCACTTCCTCATCTGTAAAATAAAATACCAGCCACGGAGGGTGCTTGCCTGGCCGAGGTGACGTGTGCACCGCCTGGAGGAGCGTCTGGCCCGGGGTGTTTGTTCAATTAAAGGCGGCCATTACTTTGAGCCTAACCCCTTAACAAAACTCATTAAAGTCATTAAGGATGTTCTTAATGTGTGGCTAGATGTGTTGAGAGGCCTTGGCAGGTGCTGTTACAGAAACAAGTGCACTTCAGGGGCTTCCCTGGTGGCGCAGTGGTTAAGAACCCACCTGCCAATGCAGGGGACACGGGTTCGAGCCCTGGTCCAGGAGGATCCCACGTGCCACGGAGCAACGAAGCCCGTGTGCCACAACTACTGAGCCTGCGCTCTAGAGCCCACGAGCCACAACTACTGAGCCCATGCACCACAACTACTGAAGCCCACGTGCCTAGAGCCCGTGCCCTGCAACAACGGAAGACCCAACGCAGCCAAAAATAAATAAATAAATACATTTATTAAAAACAAGAAAAAGGAAAAAAGAAACACGTGCACTTCGGAAGCATGGGGTCATTGTGACGGTGCTCCCCGACGCTCCTAATAGATCAGAGTGTACACCTTCTGCAATTCTACATAATTCCAAATGTGCTGAGCGCTCCCAGGGGTGAGGTGGGCCGGGCTCAGGAACAGACCCCATCCCGGACATGCAGCCCTGGGGGCTACAAAGATGTATATGAACAACAAAACAACGCAAAGACGCCAGAGGCTGAGGGAGCGAAGATGGGAGGGGGTCACGTGGGGCTGTAGGCCAGGATGAGAACTCTGAGTTTATTCTAAGGGTACAGGAAACCCATGAGAGCACCAGGAAGGGAGAACGATGGGTCCAGGAGGGGAGCCAATGGGAGGCCAGAGCAGGGGCCACGCTGGAGCTGGGAGGGAGGGAGGTGGGCACCGGCTAGGAAGGCGTCACAGCACCTCACTTCTGGACCTGGGGCCCTTGGCACTCTGACCCCGGAGCAGTGACCTCCTCCTCCCCTACTTGTCCCCCCTCACCAAGGCCACCAAGGCCTGGAGCAGGGGTTTCAAACCTCCACGTGCCCACATAGGTGCCAGGCCTGAACACGGCCGCCTCGCCCTGCCCTGCCCCCAGCACCCCCCGGTGCCCCCCTGGTGCCACCACCCCCCCCCGTGCGCCAGGGAGCAGCTCTGCCTGCACATCTCCAACCCATTAGGGCCCAGCTGACATTTCTCCCAGAAATAATTAACTTTGACATCACAAAGGGCATTTCCAGCGGCCAAGGTCATCCCAGGGCTGGCCACGGCCTCCCTGTCCGCGGTCCCTCCCCAGCCCACAGCTTGGACGAATGGGGTTTCAGAGACCTGGCTGCCTGCTCGAAGGAGTGAAGAGAAGCTAACGCTGCTTTTCTTGCAGGAATAACTGCTGCTGCCTCGTCAGCTGCAAACCGCCTGGCGGGGGAGGCTGGCAGAGCTGCCTCGGACTCCGAATCCCAAAGGGACCACGGGGCTGCAGGCATGGGGGCTTCTCAGGGTGCCCTCGCTCACTGTCAAGGGCTAGTGTCAGTCTCCTGCTCTTTGAGCACAAACTTCTCTGGCTCCCCCATAACCTGAGTGTGGGCTGCAGGAAGCCGGCTGGGAGTGGGGTGACCGGGGCCACCTGCCCACACCTGCAAACGAGTGACAGAGCCTCGCCTTCACAGGCGTCCGAGGTCAGTGAGATAGTGTGCAGGCTGCCCGGCACACACGTGTCCTCACTGGGCATGGAACTGTCCTGGGGCCACCGCAACAAAGCCCCACAGACCAACTCTGTTCCCGAGGCTGGTTCCTTCCAAGGGAGGATCTGCCCCAGGCCTCTCTCCAGCTCCTGCTGACATCTTGGCATCCCTTAGCTTGTAGAAGCATCGCCCTCACCTCTACCTTCATCTGCACATGGTGTCTCCCTGTGAGCGTGTCTGTCCCAATGTGCCCTTTTTATAAGGACACCAGTCATTTGGATTAGGAGCCACGCTTCCCCAGGGTGACCTCATCTTAGCTAATTACATCTGCAACAACCCTATTTCCAAATAAGGTCACATTCTGAGGTCCTGAGGGTGAGGACTTCGACATACAGGTTTTTAGGAGACGCAATTCACCCCACAGCACTAGGCCTGAGAGGCTGCAGGGAAGGAAAATCCCCTACTACACAAAAGCCTGCACATGGGTATTTATAGCAGCTGTATTCATAGTTGCCAAAACTTGGAAGCAACCAAGATGTCCTTCAGCAGGTGACGGATAAATAAACTGTGGTGCATCCAGACAGTGGAACATTATTCAGCCCTGAAAAGAAATGAGCTGTCAAGCCATGAAAAGACATGGAAGAAACTTAAATGCCTTTAACTAAGTGAAAGAAGCCAACATGGGGGCTTCCCTGGTGGCGCAGTGGTTAAGAATCCGCCTACCAATGCAGGGGACACGGTTCGAGCCCTGGTCCGGGAAGATCCCACATGCCGCGGAGCAACTAAGCCCGTGAGCCACAACTACTGAGCCTGCGTGCCACAACTACTGAAGCCCGCGCACCTAGAGTTGGTGCTCCACAACAAGAGAAGCCACTGCAATGAGAAGCCCGCGCACCACAATGAAGAGTAATCCCCACTCACCACAACTAGAGAAAAGCCCGTGAGCAACAGCGAAGACCCAACACAGCCAAAACTAAATAAATTAATTTATTTTAAAAAAAAAAGAAGCCAATCTGAAAAAGCTACAGACTGTATGATTCCACCTGTATGACATTCTGGAAAAGACAAAACTATGGAGACAGTTAAAGAAAACAAAACAAAACAAAAAAACACAACAGGGGTTGGTGTGTGCAGGGAATGAACAGGCAGAGCACAGGGGATTTTCAGGGCAGTGAAACTACTCTTTATGCTGTAACCGTGGACACATGTTATACATTTGTCCAGACCCACGGAATGTACAACGCAAGAGTGCCCTGCCGTAACCTCTGGAGCCTGGGTGGTGATGAGGTGTCAATGCAGGTTCATCATTTATAACAAACGCACCACCCGGCAGGGATGTTAGTGGTGCGGGCTGTGCATGTGGGGCTGGGGATATATGGGGAATCTCCGTACTTCTTGCATGGTTCTCCTGTAGAACTAAAACTGCTATCTATTACTTTTTTTAAAAGTTCACCAGAGGGACCCTGGAAATAGGACCACATTTCCATGAGGGTCATAACTAACTGTGCCCTCCCTCCCTCTAATCTGTAACCAGGATGACGGTGTCTGTCCCCACCCCCCGGGAGCCATGCTCCTCTGACCTGGTGGGGCCGGCAGTGAACTGAGCTGGAGCTCGGAGCCACCAAGAGGCAGGATGGGACGCGGACACAGACGTGGCCAAGGGTGGCCCCAAGGAAAGGAACTCAGGCCCCCGCCACGGCTGGAAGCCTCTGGAGGGGTGGGGAGGAGGGTGAAGGCCGGCTGGGCCTCTGAGGGTGGATGCTCATGAGAATCGGGCCTGCAGCGGCTGTCCCTGCAGCCCCTTTACCTGCAACTTCTCTCCAACCTACTGGGCAGGGGGGCTGAGGCTGCAGACTTGGCCGCAGGTCCCAGGGCAGCCCAATCACCCCGCGACCCCCGGCAGCTCCCTTCCTGTCTGGCTTCCTAATCCGGCCCAGCAGTGACCTTTGGCCCAAGCAAAGTGATCTGATTAGAAGGCATTCAGAGGGGACACAGCTGTTCCACCGTCCTCTGGGAGGGTTCACACAGAGACCTGTCGAGGTTTGACAGAAGCCAGGCGGAGGCTCAGAGAATCACCTCGTGGTGTGGTGAGGGCAGCGCTCTGGCAGGGCTGGTCCACCTGCACCTCACAGTTCCCTGCGTCCTGAGTGGGAGGCAGAATCACAGCCCCCAAAGACACCCACGTCCTGACCCCCAGAACCTGTGAGCATGTCACCTCCCAGGACAACAGGGACTCTGCAGGCGTGATGCAGTTAAGGACCGTGATGGGGAGGTTATCCTGGGTTCCCCAGGTGGTCTGAATACAGGATCACAGAGGTCTTAAACCAGCCAGAGAAGGACATGTGATGTGGAAAAGAGAGGGACTGGAAGGTGCCAGCTGCTGGCTGTGCAGATGGAGGGAGGGGCCTCCAGACACTGGAACTGACTCTCCCCGGAGCCTCCAGAAGGACCAGCCCCACGGACCCCTCGATTTTAGCCCAGGACCCCGTGTTGGACATCTGACCCCGAGGACCGTGAGATGACAAATCTGTGCTGTTTTAAGCCGCTGGATTTATGGGGATTTGCTCCAGGCAGCAACAGCACTCTGGTGTACCCTGTAAATTAACCATGGCTTTTGGTGCCAGCACGTGCTGTCCTGCCTGCGCAGTCACCACAAGAACCACAGTCCACTCCCCGGGGGACGGAGGGACACTGGGAACGCCCCAGTGGCTGCCCCACGGGAGTAATGTTTCTGCTTCCGCAGAAGCCTTCTTCCCATCACAGATCAGCGCCCGGGGAGGCGTCCCGGGCCCTCTTTCATTGCGTCAGTGGCAGCACAAGTGCTGAGATGGGGGCCCCGGCTGGGTGAGCAGCTCGTCACCCAGGTGATGGGGTGCAGGGGCCCACTGACACACCCTGTCTCTCTCCCTCCCCATTCATCTC